AAAAGGCGGTACTGCTATTCTAACGAAAGAAAACCCGGTGGGTAGGGAAATGGAGAATGGCTCTGGGGAAGTAACAGAGATCCACATCCGGAAAGCTCCCAGGTTGTGACGACATCAAGCTATCTGTCCTGAAATAGTGAGTCTAAGCTCTCCGCAGGCCCGTATTCGAATTGTTCCAACATTCGATGGATTCGGGGAAACTACCAAGAGAGTGGAAAGGAGCCAGAAGTGCGGACAGGCAAAATGCTACCACTTTTAGACCAGTAGGGCTACTCTTAATGGTATCAAAAGTACTGGAAAATATTTTTGATGATCACATCAGGGCGCTCCTCGATGGGACAAATAGACTCCATGGAGCACAACATGGTTTCAAGAAAGGCGAATACTGTGTAACAAACCTATTATCAGCTTGAAACAGTTTAACATCATGATGGGATATGAATGTTCCAATCCATTTGGTCTTCCTAAAGTTTGAGAAGGCATTTAACACAGCACATTATGACCTTCTCCTATACAAAATAAGTCATGTGGGTACAGGTGAACCGCTTCTGTGATGGTTGAAGGACTGTCTAGCTGAAAAGAAATTCTCTGCTAAGTTCAATTCAGTCCGATCATCCCGACACAGCTAGCCATCAGGAGAGTCACGGGGTTCTGCCTTAGGGCCAATGATGTTTTTGACATTTATCAATGACTTATTATATCGTCTAAGCTGCTCGAACGCTTTTTACACCGACGACGTACAGATTTGTAGGGCATTAAAATGCTCGGAAGCCTCACACAGGCCAAAGGTGAACCTACAGCCTCTGGAAGACTGGGCACTGGACAAGGGCACTGCAACGACAGAAGATGAGGGCCAGGAAATAGATCGTTTATTGAGAAAATCGATGGATATTTATTGATTTTTCTGTACATTATTTTCAAAGGAGAAGCCAAGTCTTCTGATTGGTTGTTTTCTTGCTGAAGGTTGCTCTGTTACCTCTTTGTTGCTGTTTCTCAGAAAATCAGGCCACGCATCTGCTAATCCTATTTGCACACGTTAACTCTGCTGTGATTGGCTGGTGATTATCGCAAAGTTAAGCTTTGTTATTGTTTTTTCTCATGACCCCGATTCGGGACGTAACATTAACGTAAATTGTTGTCTGCAATTTTGGCTTGCAGACAGCTGTCACCACAGTTTGATTTCCAACCTGAAAAACTGCAAAGTAGAGAAATTACGCTCATGTAGGCTGCAGAATATAAGTAACACCTTTTGCAACGAAAAATTGGCCCGCACAACGTCGAAGCATGATTTGGGTCTAGTTTTAACGCAAAAATTGAGACAAGTGTGAATTACACGGGGATGCAACGAGGGCACATGCAGTCATGCACTTCACACATAGACAGTTAGGTGCACTCACTCCTGAGCCTTTTCTAAGGCCATACAAAACATACGCCATGCCATACCTTGAAGTGCATAATATCACTGATTCCAACTACTTAGAAGAGACGCGAACCTTTTGGAAAGAGTCCAAAGACGAGCGATGTATACTTTGATGGTTCTCTGAAACAAACCGTATGATGAATGGCAAAGGAAATAAGTTCTTTTCACACTTAGCTGCCATCGGCTTAGGAGGGAATTGATTACTGCCCATGGGATGAAAAACAAGCAGAATCATACAAAAAAGGTGTTCTGCCATTGGGTAGGTATGGGTATCGTCGTGGAAATCCCCGAAGGCTAGCTCATTAGGAGGAAATACTCGCTTGCGCACCCATTTCTTTTCAATTCGGCGTCCCTGGAACTCACTATCGGGAGATGTAGCTACGGCACCGTCTGGAAAACCATGCAGCGACGCAGAGATCGCATCTAAACGGCATATCCCTTGAAATATGATAGACCGCTAATCAAAAGATACCTAAACTCATAGTTTTACTTCTTCACATCCTGTCTTATCTTACCCTTTTTACTGCTCCAAGTATAACTTCCCTTACACTATTACTATCACTGATATGTATATATATCTATGTACTCCATAGGTATATCAGTTTCAAGTTTTATTAGATGTCCGTTTTCATGTTTTCTTCATTTCTTTTTCTTTGTGTACGAATAAACTGGACTAAATATACATGTTATTGTCTCTTTTTTGGACTACACCAGATGACCAACTGGTGAAAGGATCAACTGCGTTCAAAGTGGCAACACGGTTTTAACACATACAAAGAACTATGTACAATTAATTCCATCACCACTCCTTTTGGGTTAACCAGAGCTATGACAACCAGGTGGCAGGATGAACTGCGCAAAATTTGGCCAAAGACCAGGAACTTCTGGCAAATTTCAACAATAGTGTCCTAATGGATGGGAACGCATGAGTGGCCCTCAGCCAACCAATCACTAAAATATGAGGAATTTTTGGAAAAACCTGACGTATATTTTTAAGAAAATGCATGAAAAGACATCAATCGGGTTGTCTTTCTCTGATATGACTTGAAAACACGTCACAGTTTTAATGAGTGTATTACTTGCTATGTAAGACAAGTTTCTGTACATATATTCACCGAGGTGACTAAAGATGAGCTGTTTTCGGGAGTCGCCAGTCTATTGTCTCCTGTTGTGCAGTCTTCCCCGACAGCCCTCGACTGAATTACTGAGGCTTCCGGTAAGAGGATCAACGATCAATTACTAGGAAAATGTGAATGAATAAACGAATCAAAATAATTGTCATCCACTCTACATCTATCCATAATCGTAACCCTAACCTAAATCATAACCCTTATTTTTATTATGGCCCTGATCCTAACCTTAACCCCAATACTTGCCTCAACCCTAACGAACTATCAACGCATTGTCCAAACAGTACTTAAAAGCGTGATCTGTGTATAACTCGCTTTTACGTTGGTGAATAGTGTTGATATTTCAGCTATGATAGCGACACGTGCTGGCCAACCACTAGCATGCGCTCAAGGTCATTAGAGTGTACGCCCTCCTGAGATGGTATTCTAAAACTTCTACGAACTTTAACCTCACAACCAAGAAGCGAGCACAGAGAAATTCAATTGGTTTACACTATCTCGTAAGCAACGATATTAGAAATATTTTCAAAAGAATGAACACTGAACAAAGAGTACCCTTTTTGATAAATTCATCATCAGGCTCTACATTTATACATACATCATAATGAATGAATGAATTAGTGTTATGAACATTAATGTTATTGGAAATAGAAAGCGAGTATTCAAATATGTGCGAAATGACCTTGAGAGGCGGATTCGGCGACATATTTACCAATCTAATTAGTCGTTTTTAAGGAGAAGCTTTAGACCACGAAGTCAATATAGAATGAAACCCTCAGAATTGTCTATTTTAGGAGGGATCGAAACTGTATGTAATATTATTGTATATCTTAAGTGTTCAATTTATTAATTGAAACTAGTGATGTGCACTTCAAATTTATATTGCATGCATATGTTTGCTTACTAATCACTCGTTTCGAAAATCGGCAAAGTTAAAGTTTAAGCACCACTCACAGCAAACGGCAAATGACCTTAGGGAGGCATTTTTTTATAATTATTTTTGATTATAGCTTGTTACAAGTATGGAATTTTCAGCATGGATATCGGTAGCTCATGTTTTGCAGGCCGACCATAGATATCAGGTGTGCGTCGGTGGAGGGTCGAACCCCGGACCATGTGCATGGTAGGCGAGAGTCCTAGCCACTGTGCCACTGACGCACATATACATACATATATTTATGAAAAAATGCATAAAACTTTGGAAAAGTGTTATAGTGTCTGGAGTATCAGCAGAGTATAATTTCACTGTAGGTACAATTTATTTTGATATAGCTTCATATTATAATACAGTAATATTTCCTGCGCAATAAATTGTGCTCGAAATGTGATCATCAGTAAATATTAATGTATAACAATATGAGACTTTATCAGAATAAATTTTACCCACAATGGAACCCAGCTAGCAACGATTTCAAGCTCATTGCAGATGTTTTGGGGCAGACTTCGGGTCATTGTCCAACGTAAGTCCATGCGCCCGAGGTTTTTTGCCCCAGAAATTATGCCTCTGAAAATAATACTAGCTGGGAATTTTGCTCTGACATAGTGCACAAGTTCTGTTCTTATATTAATAAAGTATACTCTAGCAACGACCACAACAAAATTGGATTTATAATAGTACTATGATTCAGTGGGAATGGGAATACAGCCATTACCGATGAACACATTTATGTCCCTTCATGGTTGTTCAAACGATGAACGAATGTCGTTTCAGAGGCTCTTAGAAGTGTGACAGCCCTAACCATCAAATTCTTTCTTGGGTTTCTCTTGGTCTTAATAAAAAACTAAGGCGTGTAAAATTTTTGGTGTGAAGTACCACAAACTGAACGTCTACTGGATGCATCCAATATCACTAGGAATTGTTCTGATTTTCACCTAACTTATAGGTAGGTTGGACCTTCGTTTGTTGAGTGACTTCAAGAAATACGTGCTTAGGTGACTTAACACACTGAATAGTACACTAATAATGCTGACTCAAAAAAGGAGGCGAAATGTTGTTCTGGTTTATTGCTTAAATATTTATTTCTTAGATAGTTGTCAAATAAATTAGTGTTTGGAGCTTTTTAAAAGAATATTTGGGACTTAAACATATTGTCGGTAAAGGCATCTCAGTGGAATTATTCTGAAATTCACTCAACTGATTTTGAAATTTATCATAATGAATTAAGGTAGCCTTCCATTCTCGGCTGGTACCTTTATTATCTGGTAGATAGTCGAGTAGCTCTAAGGTTACTGGAAAACATAACATAAGTCGATTGCAGTAGCTGCCTAGCAATACATTTGATAGCCATTTGCTTCCGGGATGTATTCATCAGTCTTATGCTTCAAATTTTACTTGATCTATGTAAACACGCCAGTTGGTTAGATTACTACTAATTATTCTCATTTATTGTTTTTTTTCCAACCTTGGCAGTTATGTGTCATAACTCACTTTCAGTCACTATAGTACTAAAATGACAAGTATTCTTCAAAAGCTGCGAAATGCTTTTTATCAGAAAACAAAACCGACAACGATGAAACTGGGCCTCTTGTTAGTATCACCATTAGTTGCTGGGTCTGGTTTGCTTTTTTGGTATGTGAAGTACGCAAGAAGCAAACAGGAAGCTGATGATTCATTTAAAGACCCTGAATTTACTGGATTCACTCTTACCCACTTTCCAGTGCGTAAACCAGATAGCATTTCTGAGTCATCTGGATACTTCGTCCTACCAAAAGACATAGCGAAAATGGCTGAAGAAGCAAAACTTAAGCTATCTGGTCACTGGCATCCAAACGATGTTATAGTTGCTAGCTATCCAAAATCTGGAACCACTTGGCTATCGGAGGCAGTATTTTTGATTGTCAATAAGCTTAACTGGGTTAAAGCCTATTCAAAGAATTTGGAGGAACGAGTTCCATATTTGGAGTATATATGGCCTGGACCAAGCACTATAGCACGTACACCAGCTCCTCGTGTGATAAAAACGCATCTTCCTTTCTATTTGCTACCTGAAGAGGTTTGTAAGACCTTGTTTTAAAAAAATTATTTTTATGGCATCTTTTAGCCAGTTCAAATTTTTATTTTAGATGTTTCTGCATTATTTTAATTCCGTACTTTTCACTGTATGATATGTGGGTGCATCGCGGCATGTTATTATGGCCAGTGAGTCCTGAAGGTGACCCTCAATACTTGTGATGTCAAAGAATTACCTGCTAGTTTAATGAAACACAAGATCCTTTTCCCAAATAAAATGGACATGTGGTTAACAACCAAAGCAATAACGAGCGATTCGTTGAATAAACTTATTTACCTAAACCAAATCGAACAATTCGTCAAGAAGTATCTTTGATCATTGGCCCGTGAAGTGAATAAAAAGAAGACTGAGTTTTAACATAAAACTGTGCTAAAAAGTGCGCAGTTCAAGTTGCCGTCTCGTGTGCATACAAATGTAGAGGAACCGCGGATTACAGAAATGTGACAGAGAATAAATAAGTATATGACGAATTTAGTGGATTTGGGATTTCATAAAGAGAAATCCCATCGGGTTGGTGTAAGTCACTGATTATCCCCATATGCAAGAAGGGAGACAAGTCTTCCTGTGATAATCACAAAGGGATTAGCTTGACTAATATAGTATCTAAAGTCTTAGGCTCAATAATCAGCCCCAACGGGCTGATCTCTGACGAAATCTCAGCACGAATACAAGGGGCTCGTTTCGCATTTGTTAGTTTACGCCGACTCTGGCGTAGACGAGATGTTCGACTATCGACCAAAGGGCGGGTGTACTGCTCATCAGTCCGCTCTGTCCTCCTGTATGGTTGTGAGACCTGGCCACTGAGAGTGGAAGACATGAAAAGACTAGCTGTCTTTGATCATAGGTGCCTGCGTTCTATTTCCCGTGTAAAGTGGCATAATAAGGTGAGCAACATGGAGGTTAGGCGTAGAGTTCTAGGTAAACAGGGGAAATCAATCGACGAGGTTGTGAAGTTACATCGACTGAGATGGTCTGGACACGTGTTACATATGTCTAGTCATCGCCTCCCTCGACGAGCAATGTCAGCGGATATAGGGTCAGACTGGAAAAAAGCTAGCGGCGGTCAAACAAAAACTTGGCATCAGTCAATGAAATCCACAACAGTTGGTCTAAGCCACGTAGGAAGGTGTAGACTTCCAGGCTGGGGTCCTCGGGACGGTAAAAACCAATGAAGGCTGGAAACAATTGGTGACATGGCTCAAAATCGTTCTCAATGGCTAGTGCAGATGCATCCACTCCCTGTGACTTATGATTTTCAATGAAACTGTTTTGTATTTCTTTATTACTCCTTTGTCTCACACCTCTGCTCACTGTTTCTATTATGCTTTTCTTGTACTTTCTTCTCTTGCTTCGCGTCCTACACGAAATGTGGCGACTTGAACTTCCGCACATTTGTGCAAAGTTCTATGTCGAAAACAGACAGACAGAATCATGCGTAGACTGAGTGGTGCTCGGGAAGCACAAACACGAGAGAGCCAGGCAGGCTTTAGACCAGGAAGAGGGTGTATTGATCATATCTTCACCCTCCGACAGATTCTAGAACATAGGCATTCCTACCGGCGTCCAACAGTCATTATATTTCTTGACCTAAAGGCAGCATTCGACTCTGTCGATCGGGAAGTTCTCTGGAGATGCTTGGCTGTAAAGGGAATTCCAAGAAAATATATTGCACTGATTAAGGCACTCTAATCGTACTCATACAGCCAGGTGAGGGCTTACGGCGAGCTGTCATCTGAACTGATGACGACCAGTGGTGTCCGTCAAGGATGTCCATTATCTCCTTTCCTATTCAACTTCATCATAGATATGTTAATGGACTTAACCCTAGGTGACTTCAGCGACTCAGGGATTGACTTGCTACCGGGGAATAATCTCGTTGACTTGGAATATACAGACGATATAGTCCTTCTAGGCGAAGACGCTGACAAAATGCAGAGTCTTCTGAACACACTGAGCCGCAATCTACGAATGTTTGGCATGCGATTCGCTCCCGCCAAATGCAAGATGATGTTACAGGACTGGACTACATCGACGCCTAGTTTAAAAATAGGAAGTGAAGTGGTAGAGCACGTTGACCGCTTCACTTATTTGGGAAGTACCATCAGCCCCAACGGGTTGATTTCTGACGAAATCTCAGCACGAATACAGGGGGCTCGTTTCGCATTTGCCAGTTTACGTCATCTCTGGAGTAGACGAGATATCCGACTATCGACCAAAGGGCGGGTGTACTGCTCATCAGTCCGCTCCGTCCTCCTTTATGGCTGTGAGACCTGGCCACTGAGAGTGGAAGACATGAAAAGCCTGGCTAGATGTCTTTGACCATATGTGCATGTGTTCTATCTCCCGTGTGAAGTGGTATAATAAGGTGAGCAATATTGAGGTTAGGCGTCGAGTTCTAGGTAAGGAGGGGAAATCAATCGACGAGGTTGTGAAGTTACATCGACTGAGATGGTTAGGACACGTGTTACATATGTCTAGTCATCGCCTCCCTCGACGAGCAATGTTAGCTGAAATAGAGTCAGACTGGAAAAGAACTAGTGGCGGTCAAACCAAAACATGGCACTAGTCAATGGAATCCACAACAGTTGGTCTAAGCCACGTAGGAAGGTGTAGACTTCCAGGCTGGGGTCCTCGGGACGGTAAAAACCAATGAAGGCTGGAAACAATTGGTGACATGGCTCAAAATCGTTCTCAATGGCTAGTGCAGATGCATCCACTCCCTGTGACTTATGATTTTCAATGAAACTGTTTTGTATTTCTTTATTACTCCTTTGTCTCACACCTCTGCTCACTGTTTCTATTATGCTTTTCTTGTACTTTCTTCTCTTGCTTCGCGTCCTACACGGAATGTGGCGACTTGAACTTCCGCACATTTGTGCAAAGTTCTATGTCGAAAACAGACAGACAGAAAGAGTAATTGTATCTGCACCATTTAAAACAAGTTTAGACCATGTCATTAGCAGCCATTCGTGCTTAGCGTCTCGGCAACCGCAACCAACATCCCTACATGACTCAAATTAGCAGTCAGAGTCCTTATATGTGTTGACCACTCCCTAACTTCTCCAACCTGATCTTACATTATCTAATAATATTGCTCGAAGGTGAAGGCGGTGTCTGATGATACATAGCATATGTCCTAGCCATTTCAATCAGTGCAGCTCCACAACCACATCGATTGACTTTCCCTCTTCATTTAACACTAAATGAAGAGTCTTTATTCATTCGACATTCACCAACCAACCTAAAGCATCTTAAGGCATTCCAGTGATATTCTTTAATACTGATGGTATTGTTACAGAAGCATTCATGACTTATCTTCACCTTTATCCTGGAACTTTACACTAGTAGTATCAGTCACATCTAACCTTTTCTTGAATCTAAGTGACCTTGATTTGATGCTCTATTGTAAATTTTCTTTTGTTTTTATTCCTTTGTATTCCGAGTGGAACGTAGGGCTTCAGGCTTAAGTTTTGAAATTCCAGTAGCTGTGACACTGTTTTAACGGAGTGGGGTTGCTAGCCTCACGTCCAACTTTTCCTCTTTATCGCCAATATAACCGGCTAAGGGAGATGACGGTGTGCATCGGCCAGGAATTGAACTCCAGACCCTGTGAGGCATGGTTGGCCTGTGCTATACCGCTAAACCACTGACGCTATCGTAATTATTGTAGTAATTATGCCTAATTCTTTGTATATTTATCAGCTGTATTGTAAAGAAAAAGAGTTCAACCGCTGTTCACCGCTTTTAACCAGAAATCTTTCGTTGTGTATACATGTAGTTGTATATTTAAAATGTCCAGACAGTAATTTTTTTAAAGATTTGATTAAATTAATAATTCCAACTATATGACGACGTTTTAGATTCAACGTGGTGAATGTGCACGTGTGATTTATATTGTCCGTGATCCTCGTGATGTTGTTGTTTCCTACTACCATTTTGCCAGATGCTTTACTCCAGCTGGTTATCAAAACTTAGAAGGTTTGAATGGATTTGTGAACAGATTTTTGAATGACAAACTGCCTTACAGTCCTTGGTGTGAACATGTGAAAAGTTACCATGAAGCTGCAAGTAGTAAATTTACCGACAAAAAGCCAACAGACGCGCTCAAACCAAAAGTACTATTAATTACCTATGAAATGTTTAAGTTCAATTCACAGGCGACATTAAAACTTATCGAAGAATTTATCCATGAAACATGGATTGATGATGATAGATCAGACTGTTTATCTCGACCAAAACGGCTGACAACTAGTCAGATAGCTGAATTAGCTGAACACTGTTCATTTGAAAACATGTCTAGAAATCGAACAACAAATTTTGAGTGGATGAAAGAAGTAGGATTATGGTCAGCAGAAGGAGGTATAAGATTTATGCGTCATGGTCAAATTGGTGATTATCAGACAACTTTGACTACTTCACAAGTGGAACAAATTGTACACAAGGTGAATTCAGCTGGTCTACAATGGACATTAGCAAAAAGCTTGAGCACCTGATTATAAATCCTACATTACAGAGAGCGAAGGAAAGTAATCCTGTTTAGTAACTTTTGTGAATAATAATTTGACACGAAAAGTCTTTCTTTCACAGTTTGTATAGAAATATGTATATATTCTTTGCTAGATAATTTATAAACTTTACAATGTTCGATTTTTAGAAGAAAAAATACATGTACAAAATATTTAAAGGAACATATCATTTTGCACCAAAAGCCCAATAAATTAAATGACCAACAACTAATACATTTACACTGTTACCCAATAAACGAAGACGTTGTTTTTCTGTTATGTTTTCTGGGAAATCTAGAAAGGTAAACAAAAAAGGTAACAGTAAGCAGATTTATTATATAGGGGTGGCTTATATATAAAGAAACAAACAGTCAAGCTGAAATCACGACCTAACCGCTTTAATTTAGCAATTATGGACCGAATTAAAAGGTATTAGTGGTTTAAGCGAAAAATTGACTCAGTAACCTTGATGAGGTTGATCAATGTAAAACAGGCTATCTTAAATAACATAAATAGAGATAATTCTTTGTACTTTATGAATGTAACTAGAGTTAGAAGATAGGCTTTGGTTGTAGATACTTTTTTAGGGGATTAAATCTACTCCATAAATCTTGCACAGCATTCGTGATTTGTAATTTCTGCATCGTAACTTTATGATTAGCTACCAGCCACTTGAGAATTAGTCTAGTGTTCACCAGTGACTGACTTCAGGACGAAGTTGCCTGAAGTTCGAGCCAGAAGTCGTAAGCAGACAGAATCCACGAGGTCGAGTGTAACGACTCGTCAATAACACTGGCTAACAGTTGTGCTGTATATCGCTAACTGGTAGAAGTTAGGAGTTCATGAGTCAATGGATTCCATACCATGGGTTGAATAATCCGAGGAGCTTGCCTCATACACTGAAAGTCCTCGGTTCCATGACTTGTAGGGTCACAGGTGCATACCGACGAAGAGTCCCAAACACGAACGAAACAGCTGTCCAACACTCTTTGATGGCTTTCAATGATGCTCTAACTAAAGTCAGTTCATGATCAAACTTGTAATCACTCGAACCGCTGTAAACCAACATTTGAAAATCTAAGTATGTCTGTTCGCCTCAAGATCACTGAATTGATTGTTCCATTGGTTCAGTATTCTTTAAATTCACCTAATTACTACAGAAATGGCTCAGATATGCAAATCAGTAATATGTATATACTTAACAATCCTTTTTAAATATCTGTTATCTTTTAGCTATTTAGAACAGCGTTCTCAGGATTCCTTTTATTTTATAGTTTTATTGGTATGAGACAAAATACATGTGACCATCGTCGTTCACAGTAACTCTAAACACAAAATATCCTTTCAAATAAAAATAAGAAAGGACTCACTGGTTTTCATTTTTAATCGCCTGCATAATTATGAGAGAGGCTTTCTCTCACTAAAAGGTATGTGTTTGCAGATAATTAATGTGAAAAACCTACACAATATGCTTAGACCTAATAGAAATTGTTATAGATATCACATTTTTTTCTAAACCAAAGCACACTTTCTCAGAGCTACTAATGTTCGATTTATTTCCATTATATGATTCACACCGTGAAACAAGAGTTTGTAACTTGAGCTTCGAAGGAAAATTAAAAAAATATGATAGGAGATTTACATAAGCAAAACAAAACACAAGAATACGACGACGTCAGTTGTAAAGCATTCAACAAAGAAGAAAAAGATGTCATTATTTCGTTTTAAAGTGCAAATAAACTTCTTAAAAGCCTTGTTTACCATATTTTTTGATATTTAACTGGTGTGGATGAATGACATAGTAAGAGTATCTGTTTGTAAAATAGACGTATGCAATTGGTACTCAGTAGAAAATGAATATATATATGATCTGGTATTATTTTATAAATTTGAACTAATGATGCAATGTGATAGAATACATAAAAACACACTTCTGATCACTTCATAAGAAACTTCATTTCGAGATATGCAGGTTTTTGACCTGTACATCACGGTTCAGTTTAATAGAATATGCGATAACTTCCAACAGAAGATAGACCTCAGTGTGTGGCATGTGCTACTGATAAGATTTATCAGTATTATACGAAGAGACGTTCATCGGCAAAAAATATCAAATAGCGGAGAGATAGATTTAGTGTCAAAGAGAGCAAGTGATTCAGCGTTGTGGCAAAACATGGGATATACGAAAAGAAGACAAAGGGAAGGGCAGAGGTAGCACAATACAGAAAATCTGTGCAAATGACGATTTTCATATAGGGTGTACATAACTTCCTCACATATGGAGATACCGAATTCCGAATAAACATTCCTTTACCAACTCTTTCATCTCTTACCATTACATATGGTGTCGCTGCCTCTAGACAGTAAAATTCCCATGACTGACTGCTTTCGAGGAAGAAGAAATCAGGAGCTCCTGCGGGACTTCGAGTTCGTCGTTGAGTTAGTGGGCGTCAACAGTCTGATGGTGAAGGCGGTTGTGCTGGGGACGCTGCTGAGAGGTCGAGCAAAGGCAGCGTACTACAATGTGAATCGGTCAGGCGAGCAAGTAACCTTAAAGGTGTTGGTGGCAGAGTTCGATAGCCCGACGAACAGGCACCTGCCGATGCCGCGAAGCGGGGCCCAGACGAAGACCCTTTGGTGTTGGCGGTGAAGCTGACGAATCTACCACATTGAATGAAGAGTCCGAGTTGCAGTTATTGACGTTCCAGTTCATTGAAGGTGTGTCTGATCACATCTCACTACAACTGGTTAACGCTGCACAACCCATAAACATCGTTGATCTAGCAAAAGTGACCAGATAGCTGTTGAGCACAACGGTAGGTGCAATAGAGCCATCGAAACGTCATCAGTAAAAATTACCGTATAACACTATGTGACTTTATCAAAATAAAACTTTGTTCATAGTGGAATTACGCTCTACCACAGTGCTCAAGTTTTATCCTTATATCAAGAAGACAAGAAACTTGGTACAGAAATGTTTATTTGGAATTCGGTATCTCCATATGTGAAGAAGTTATATACACCTTATATGAAAATCGTCATTTGCACAGATTTTCTGTGATTTGCTACCTATGCTCTTCCTTCGTATTGTATTTCCTTGTCTTCTTTTCATGTCTCCCATGTTTTGCCACAACGCTGAATCATTTGCTCTCTTTGACACTAAATCTATCTCTCCGCTATTTGATATTTTTATGCCGATGAACATCTCTTTATATACTACTGATAAATCTTGTCCGCAGCGCACTCCACAGGTGTATCTATAAATCCAACACAAACAGTTTGACCTATTTGAAATTTATCATTTTTGCACATGCAAGGGAGAAATTTTGCCTATGTACTGCTGTGGTGAGAGCTGGATGTTAGCCAAAATTGGCAGACGGTAATTTACGTCAATGTTTATGTCCCCAATATTGGTCGCGAGAAAGATGAGAACAAAGGCTTTGATTAGGCGAATACAGTTAGCATATAGATGATCTGGCACTCAAGAAACGGCCACAAATATATGTAAGGTTAACTTTCTGTGAGAAACAACCAATCGGAAAACTCTGTTTTCCTGCTAACAATAATCTCTATAATATGTACATGAAAATATATAAATATGTGTTGATTTCTTTAATAAACAATCTGTTGCCTGACTCTTGCCTTCTGTCATTACACTACTAGTCACACGGAAATAAAAGTAATCGTCTAATTATACGGAGACAGTCAGTGTGAGTGAAAGAGTAAATACTTCGTAATCCGGGTGGTGGCTTCAAGTTGTTGAAATTTTAGTGGCAATTTTGTTTCCACAGGGTGAGGGTGTAAGCCTCACGGCCCCCACCCTTCTCTCTTTTTCGAGCTTACTATTGGCTAGTAAATTAGGCGAGGTTTAGGAATGTGCCAGTCCAGAATCGAACTCGGACCAAGTGCGTGGCTGGCGAGCGTTCTACCACCGAAGCACAGACGCACATTTTACTAAGTTATATTTATTTCCTTGAATCACAAAATAAATAAACTTATCGAGACAACTGTATAAAAATTTACTGCATACCACAAAAAATAATTTATTTTTTTTACAATAACTTACCAAAACTTTTGGGAAAGCACAAAAAGTTAGCCACTTCACGATGATGAAAAAAGCGTAATTTTAAGTGTTCAGCATACTGTACAATAGCTTGTTCATTATTTTTGTTAGCTTCATAAAAAGTGTTTATTTTCTCACTTGTCTAATTAATGTAGGGGAAAAAGTTGAAAAAACAAAACTTATTACTAATTGAACCGACTACATGCACTTCAGTATATGGACTACTGTAGTACTAGTACTACTGTAGTACAGGTTCGATGGCATACAGTATACACCATGAAAAGATGGCTGGTAAATAGGAAAAATGATTCAACTGAGTAATTCATACGAATAACAGAATATTTGGTGTTCAGAATCAAACAAATGGTAAATTGACGGGTTCGAATTCCAATTCCATTTCGGTCAGGCTAAGTTGAACTGGACTGAGTAGTGTCATCAGCCGTCATACAGTTATTGTGGTTCATAACCTTAGTGACTACTAACAACAGAACTTAGAATATATTACACAAGTTAGATCACGGATTAATGTCGGTTAAAGGAACCACTGAAAGTCAGGGAATAATAAAATAGCTTTTTTGTTTTAGTCTAGGATTCTTCAATACTGCGTACCTGTAGTCTCACGAATGACGGGGGGCGGGGTGGAACCCAAGACTTCCAGCTTAGAAGGAGAGGTCGTTGACCATGCAGCCATTTGGAAGGAATTCGGCAGCTCATCAACTCCAATTCCTGCAGATCCGCGATATATAGTACCATCTCCAGTATTGATATCAATTCGTGATTCAAGTTGGAGCTAATCAAATCTTCACAAACGAATAATTGAAAAGTAATTTATTGCTCACTAGTGACTTACGCAGTTGTCTTGATTTCTAGTGAGAATTTGGCACGCCTCATAAACCATTCATGTTCATAGTTGGATGCTCGGTGTGGTTATCTGTGTGTACTGCCGAGGAGCATGAAATTAGGACAAAACAGCTGTCCAATACTCTCCGGTTTTCAGTGGTTCTCTAACTGATATAAAACCGTGATCTAATCTTGATACCAATCGAATCTCCGCGAACGGAAACTCTAGAAGTAAGTATATTATATAAGTTCCTATATTAAAATCACCTCAATTGAACTATCAAAAAGTGAATAGAATTCGATCCAGAGTTTATAAAAGGAGTTCGAGAAGTTAATTCATACGCGAATTACTACTCATCATAAGGATGAAAAATATAGTGATGAGTGAACGAATACCATTAATATAAGAATAAAACTTGTGCACTGTGGTAGAGTGTAATTCCATTATGGGTAAATTTTGTTTTGATAAAGTCTCACAGTGTTATACAGTAATGTTTACTGATGACGTTTCGAGCACAATTTATTGCTCATAATCATATCAAGGTAATCACACGACTTCCTAAATTCATTTATATAGTTCCATTGTTTTTCTCTTGACTTTCACTTGATTTGATTGGTAGTAGTATTTTCCATATTTCAGGTATGAGTGACGAGTCATTCCTATTGCATGTGTTGGGTGTAGACTCGATGAACAAGGATTCAGTAATCAACCTCTCTCTCCACCTACCTAGATTACTTTTTAGAATTTTAACTCTCTCCCACCCTATTGTGTGGTTGTGTGTTAGCGCATGCATTGCAATTGCTGAGCTTTTTTCTAAATTACTTATCTTCTCGGGGTCAACCATTCTTACCTTAGCTAAATTTTTATGCTCTGACAATCTGACTACCCCTGACCTACTAGTTTGACCTATGTAGTTGACCTCACAGTCATTGCATGGTATTTTGTAAATAATATTATTTTGTCTAATTGGGTCAACTGGGTCCTTTAACCTACAGAGCTTGTCCCTGAGTGAGTTTGTAGGTTTAAATGCCACCCTAATTCCTATTTTATTCAGAATCCTACGTAGTGTCTCAGATGTCCCCTCTTTATATGGTATAACTGTGGATGACTTATATTCTTTCTTATTTATGTTATTATTACTAGTTTCACAATTATTTTTATTTTGTTTTTGGCCTTTAGTGATCTTCCTAATGAATTTTATAGGATAGTTATTCAACACCAACGCTTCTTCTATCTGTTTTAATTCATCATTTAGATCTTTTTTTGTGCTACTTAGTGCCACTGCTCGGTTTGTTAAACATTTAACTAAGCCTGCCTTAACAGTTAAAGGATGAGACGAATTAAAGTCTAAATATCTATTAGAATGCGTTGGTTTTCTATAAACACTAGTGTGTAGTTTGCCTTCTTCTATTCTTTTTATCTTACAATCTAACATAGCTAATTCTCCTTGTTCATTTTCTGATTCAAATGTGAATTTTATTCCCTCAACTTGTGAGTTTATATGTGTCAAGAAGCTAGAGATGTGTTCTGTTTTTAGCACTGTGAAAGTGTCATCCACATATCTCCACCATATTTTCGGAGTAGGGTTAAATGTATTGAGGGCACTATTTTCCCAGCTGTCCATAAATATGTCTGCTACGATAGGGGATATTGGTGATCCCATTGCTACACCTTCTGTTTGTCTATATATTTTGCCTTGGAACTTAAAGATAGTAGATGTGAGGCATAACTGAATTCCTAAAATAATTTCTTCAATGGACAGCTTTGTCCTATGACTGAGTTCCGGATCCGCAGTTAATTCTTTTTTAACTGCTTCTAAGGCCATATTAACTGGTATATTAGTATAAAGACTAGTTATATCAAAACTAACCATTGTTTCATCATTCGCTAGTTGAATGTCATTTATTTTATTTTTCATCTCATATGAAAAGATCTAAATGATGAATTAAAACAGATAGAAGAAGCGTTGGTGTTGAATAACTATCCTATAAAATTCATTAGGAAGATCACTAAAGGCCAAAAACAAAATAAAAATAATTGTGAAACTAGTAATAATAACATAAATAAGAAAGAATATAAGTCATCCACAGTTATACCATATAAAGAGGGGACATCTGAGACACTACGTAGGATTCTGAATAAAATAGGAATTAGGGTGGCATTTAAACCTACAAACTCACTCAGGGACAAGCTCTGTAGGTTAAAGGACCCAGTTGACCCAATTAGACAAAATAATATTATTTACAAAATACCATGCAATGACTGTGAGGTCAACTACATAGGTCAAACTAGTAGGTCAGGGGTAGTCAGATTGTCAGAGCATAAAAATTTAGCTAAGGTAAGAATGGTTGACCCCGAGAAGATAAGTAATTTAGAAAAAAGCTCAGCAATTGCAATGCATGCGCTAACACACAACCACACAATAGGGTGGGAGAGAGTTAAAATTCTAAAAAGTAATCTAGGTAGGTGGAGAGAGAGGTTGATTACTGAATCCTTGTTCATCGAGTCTACACCCAACACATGCAATAGGAATGACTCGTCACTCATACCTGGAATATGGAAAATACTACTACCAATCAAATCAAGTGAAAGTCAAGAGAAAAACAATGGAACTATATAAATGAATTTAGGAAGTCGTGTGATTACCTTGATATGATTATGAGCAATAAATTGTGCTCGAAACGTCATCAGTAAACATTACTGTATAACACTGTGAGACTTTATCAAAACAAAATTTACCCATAATGAACGAATACCAGGTGTATGTATATATTGATGAATTTACCTTTCACTTATAATAGACTAATGCTGCGAAATCCATGGTCATACATGAAACTAATCCAATCTCTACAAACTAACGCTTGAAAATTAGGGATATATATATATATAAAGCGAGTTGGCAGAAATATTCCTTCTTTTTCCAATTTTCGACATACTTTATTCAGATCATTAAGAAAATTGAATTCAGTTGCAAAGGGCTCACTAATAGACTCGATCACAGCAAACAATCCCACAGGTTCCTGTGTGTTGCCAATAAAACAAGTTGACATTGGAGTTCTTGAGTTCATTGAGTCATATGAGAAAGAGATGTTCAGCGAAGAGACTCTTTTCGGCGAATTCATTCACATAGCTGTACAATCACATTTATATATAATTATTTCTGTATGTGTGTGTACATGAGGTTTGTCTGTCTGTCTGTCTATTTTCGACATAGAACTTTGCACAAATGTGCGGAAGTTCAAGTCGCCACACTCCATGTAGCACACAAAGCAAGAGAAGAAAGTAGAAATGCATAATAGAGACAGTAAACAGAAGTGGGAGACAAAGGAAGAGTAGTAATGAAGAACAACATAGTTTAATTGGAAGTCATAAGCCACAGGGAGTGGATGCATCTGCGCCATTGAGAACGATTTTGAGCCATGCCACCAATTGTTTCCAGCCTTAATTGGTTTTTACCGTCCCAGGGACCCCAACCCGGAAGTCTACACCTTCCTACGTGGCTTAGACCAACTGTTGTGGATTTCATTGACTGGTGCCAAGTTTTCGTTTGACCGCCGCTAGCTTTTTTCCAGCCCGACCCTATATCCAGCTGACGAGTCCCAAATAGGACGAAATGCGCGTCCTGGATTCCACTGATAGTGATCATCCACCAATTAACTTCCCGACCGAAAGCTGCTACCTTGACGTGGTGGTCGGGTTTGAACACCGCAATGATCTATTCAAGCTATACTGGCTGAGACTTATGTCTTTTGAGGTCCTACTATGCAAGGCAGGTTGTTTGGATAGCGGTTAAACAAAAAGCAGCTACCCAATCCAACATCATGATAAGTACAAAATTTCATGCCGGATAGGCCGTGGCCCGGATTAACAACGACCGCGCTTCCTGCTGCCGTGTCACAGGGCAGGAGTGATAAATATGCTACTGAGGCACACAAAACAACAGAGAACAAACAAAAGCAGGCCGCGTGTGACCGGCCCCAAGCAGTTGTCCCCTGGGCTCTGCGGTCACGCAACCAACTTCCACGGTGTGGGCAGCCGGGAAGTAACAATCGCCCTCACAATCCGAAACGCACGCGAAACCTCTCTATTACTCACTCTCTTGTACATGAGGTTTGTCAAGTTTAGATAATTGATCAGGTAATACAAGAATGATCTAGTATAGAAACAAGGTTAATCAGACACCAACTGAAGTAAGATTGAGTTAGTAAGTTAGATGAGGTAATATAATTGACTCAAATGTTTCAACTAAGGTCAGGGCAGCAACAGAGGTAATTACAGGTAGAGACTAAGTAGAAGTGGGGTAGAGAATAATGCCATTGAAATTAGGACTAAAATAGAGCAAGTGAATTGAATGACGTAACATAAATGACTAGAAATTAAGCGTTGGTCAAGTTAGTAATAGTGGTAGTGAGGTGTAGAAATTAAACCGGGTGGGGGTAGAGAACAAGAGAGTTGAAGATGTAAAATATTACAATTGAGAAGACAAAATAATACTCATGAAGAGACAGAAAAAAGATTAGGTAGAATTTACTTGCCGGACAATGGACGTAATCTATCTTATTACCCGATAAGTATATTCTTCCTAATCCTTTTCTCCTCTGTCTCTTCGTCAGTATTAATTTGTCTTCTCAATTGTAATATTTTACATTTTCAACTTTCTTGTTCTCTACCCCCACCCGATTTAACTTCTGCACCTCTTGACCACTGTTACTGACTTGACCAACACTCAATTTCTAGTCATTTATGTTACTTTATCCGACTTATTCGCTCAATTTCAGTTCTAATTTAAATGGCATTATTCTCTACCCCACTTCTACTTAGTCTCTGCCTGTAATTACCTCTGTTGCTACCCTGACCTAAGTTGAAACATTTTAGTCAATTATATTACCTTATCTAACTTACTAACTCAATCTTACTTTAGCTACTGTCTGATTAACCTTGTTTCAATACTAGATCATCCTTTCAATACCTGATCAAATATCTAAACTTGACAAACCTCATGTACACACACGCACACAAAATAATTGTATATGAATGCAATTGTACAGCCTTGTGAATGAATTCGCCGAAAAGAATCTCTTCGCTGAACGTCTTCTCTTTTTCATACAATAAATTTACAGTTTTCCGTTATTGATATATATTCAATGTATAAGCAGATCGCAAATCGATATAAGCTCACAATTAAAGCCTAATTCTAGTGGATTTCTTATTGGTCAAAACTGATCACAAAACGATGTCTTTAGTGAAGCTTATTTATATCAGCCATTATTGTTTTTTTGCGTTCCGAATGGAATATGGGGATTCAAGTTTGAGCTTTGAAGTTTTACTAGCAGTGAGTAGTGTTATTTTTTTTACGGGGCGAGGTTGCTAGCCTAAAACCCAATCCTTCTCTCTTTATCCTGGCTTACTAAAAATACCTAGGCGAGGTTAAGGAGTCCATCGACCGAGAGTCGAATCCAATCATGTGCATGGTTGGAGAACACTGTAGCACCGACGCACACCTCTATGTAGACGATAGATTTATGCTTATGAAAGAAAGGTGGATATAATAAATGAACTGTCAGTAAAGCGTGCCAAATCTTTTCACAAAATAACAATAAAAGTTTTTCTTGTTGTATGAACAACACACACACACACACACTGATAGTCAATGTTTAATTCTACAAGTACTTACTTCATTTTCCATAGAGGTTTGTAGTACAGACCCTGTACCTTCCATTCGTTTTGCATAACCTTTTGTAAAACATCGTGTCTTTTTATCAGTAGGCCTAACGATATCAAATATACGGAAGTAACGTTGAAGGCACTTTTCATCTAGAAAATGTAACTTTTAGGGGGAAAAAGATTCCATAAAATTATATATTAATAAATTGTCTTACTTCTTCACTCATACTTTCAATTGGTGATAATAGAAACTCTGAAATTGGTCGACAGAACTTAACATACTCAGAGAAATTATCATCCGTGTGTTCTATGTGCCTAAGATAATGAAAGGAAAACAAATCACAATGGTGTAAACTTTGGGAAAATGTTACAGGTTGCAAGTTAAAAGAATATATATATATTCTAGATTATTATTCATTTGGGTTCCGTAGAACTTCAATAACGCATCTCCACTTTTTCCGGTTTTCTGCAGTCAATTTTAGATGGCCCTAAGATTGCTCATAAGCTTACAGCCCCTCCCCTCACACAATCTGCTCTATGTCTCTCTCGGGTACTCAACTTGTCGTCTCTCATTTAGGTTCCACTAAGGTGGACTTGCACTTATCGGTCTCCTCAGCGCGCATATCTAATCCATCTCCATTTCCGTAAGCATCTTTCTTAGGCAACAGGTTCTTCGCTAGTTCGTTACCAAGTTCTTTATTGTGAATTCCTCCTGGCCATCTGGTCTTCAGAATGCACTGAAGACAGCTGTTGAAATTATTCTAGATACGTGGGAAGATTTTTATATTTATATGCCTTAGGCAGCTAAGCATATGCATCTATTGGATTTCTTAGTCAATTGTTAAAGTAAGGATGGAATATAAATTATTTAAATTGATTTCAGCGTATTTAAGAAAAAAATCAAAACAAGATTTTTCTGAACGTTTCGGTGTGTAAGCCACAGCTTCTTCAGAAGAGTTATTCGGATTTTATGAAGACGCTGTGGCTTACACAGCGAAACGTTCAGAAAAATTTTGTTTTCACCTTTTCTTAAATATGCTATGATTAATTTAAATAACTTAAAATGAATCAATCTGACTCGGAGCTCAAATTATTCCAGGAAGTTCGTAACATCTACGGTCTGGAAACTTATAAGAGTGAAATATACAACTAAAGCTGCGTGTAATGACTAGCTAAAATAATAGAAACACCGCTAGGTATTTAGAGTTATTCACTTTGATTGGATATCCGAGTAAACCATAGACGTTATGAGAGAGAATGTGATCGGGCACAGATTTGATTGAAAAATCATCTTGGCTAGTGCCCGTTAGTCAGTGTACAAATCTAGAGGACTGCACTTACCACTTGTACAGCTAGATAAAGGCTGAAGTTATACTAATCCATTACTGTGTATCTACTAGAGATTTCGATGAAATTAACTACACACAGGTATGCTAAGCAATGGAGTGAACGTGTGCTAATCGAGTCATTTTCCTTTGCATTAGTGTTACTGCAAGGTCACTTCTATAAGTTCAATTACTATTAGTTTCAATGTTTTACAAGTATGAAATATATCTATCTACCTTCCCTCCAGCTATGGATAAGATTTTATTTTGATAAATCACACAGTGTTATACAGTCATATTGACTGACGACGTTCCGTGCACAATGACTGCAAAGTTAACTATATAGGTCAAACTAGTAGATCGGGGGTAATCAGATTGTCGGAACACAAGAATTTAGCTAAGGTAAGAATGGTTGACCCCGAGAAGATGAGTAATTTTAAAAACACCTCAGCAATTGCAATACATGCATTAACACAAAATCACACAATGGGGTGGGAGAGGGTTAAGATTCTAAGAAGTAATCTATGTAGGTGGAGAGAGAGAGAGAGATTACTGAATCCTTGTTCATCCAGTCTACACCCAACACATTCAATAGAAATGACTCAACGCAAATATCAAAGATATGGAAGATGTTATTACCACCAGTCAAATCAGAGGAGGATAATAAATAATTCTAAAATTCTATTTCAATTCAAGTACATCATAACATTCTAACAAGTTACTTATTTTGACTTCTGTTTTCTGCCACCTTTTTCACCCCGCTCCAAGTCTGCCCACATGCTTTCATCTCCTCTTCACATGACCTCCTCCAAGTCACCCTTGCACTGATGACCAACTCGCCACTTCCCTTTCGGGTTCCACTCGAGCGATGGCTTGTTTAATAATGTCACGTGATGGTTTCCTCAGCGTATGGCCAATCCATCTCCATTTCTTCCTGCCTATTTGTTTCACAATCGGTTCCTGGTTGGTTCGCTCTCAGAGATCTTTGTTGCTGATCTATTCTGTCCATCTGATCTTGAGTATTGAGCGAAGACAACTGTTAATGAAGGTCTGAAGTTTGTTCAAGATACTCTTTATGACGCGCAGTGCAAGTCTCTGATCCGTATAGTAGCACTGACTGACTTCACATTGGAGTTGAAAATCCGAATGTTATTTTTGATGCTGAGTGCTGTTGACCTCCACACAGACTTAAGAGTAGTGAAAGCTTGCCTTGCTTTTCCGATTCTTGCTTTGATATCCTCGTCAGTTCCGCCTGTAGTTGAAACGATGCTTCCCAGGTAGGTAAAGGAGGTTGTTTCTTTCAGGTTCCTCCCATTTATGCTGATTGTGTCTGTTGTTTTTGTTGATGGTGTTGGCCAGGAATCTTCATCACTTCTGTTTTATCTATGTTCACCTGAAGTCCTATCTTTGATGCTTCTTCTGCCAGCTTGTTGCTTTTCACTTGCATATCTTCCAGTTTATGGGAAATCAGACATATATCATCGGCGAAATCCAGATCCTCCAAGTCTTTTGTGTCAGTCCATTTTATGCCTGTTCCCTCGTTGGTTGCCGTTGTCTGTCGCATTATCCAATCAATTGCAATCAGGAAGATCATTGGTGATAGTAGACAGCCTTGCCTCACTCCCGTCCTCACTTCGAAGGCTTCCGTAAGTTTCCCGTTGTGGATTACTTGGCATGCAGCATTGTCGTATAACTGTTGGATGAGATGTATAATTGTCGATGGGACCCCGTAGTAGCGAATTAGTTGCCAAATGTCCACTCTATCGACGCTGTCGAAGGCCTTTTCAAAGTCGATGAAGTTGAGATAGAGAGGTGACTGCCATTCCAAGCTTTGTTCAATGATGATCCGTAGAGTGGCGATTTGATCAATACATGATTTGTTTCTCCTGAATCCAGCCTGTTCCGGACGAAATATTTCATCTAGGGCTTGTTTGATTCTCACCAGGATGATGCGGCTTAGTATTTCGCTTGGGATGGACAGAAGCATAATTCCACGCCAGTTTTTACATTGACTTAAGTCTCCTTTCTTTGGTAGTTTGAATAAGTATCCTTTCTTCCAATCCTCGCGTACTTTGCCCTCTTACCACACCTTATCCAGTAATGGCGTCATCATGTCCGCTGTTGTCTTTGGGTCCATTTTCAATGCTTGTGCTGGGATTCCATCTGGTCCTGGTGTTTTTCCAGCTTTTAGCATCTTGATTGCATTCAGGACTTCTGATTTCGTCGGGGGGTAGGTGTTCACTGGTAGTTCTGCTTCCGTTGTTGGTATTGTTGGGTGCGTTGTAGGTGGCGGACGATTTAGAAGTCTTTTGAAGTGTTCAGCCCAGTGCTTTCTCTGTTCCACCTCTTTGGTGATTGACTTTCCATTGTCGTCCTTTATTGGCTTAATCTGTGTCGAACGTTTGCCCGAAAGGTGCCTAGTTGTTTGGTAGAGTGTGGCGAGGTCTCCTTTGCCTGCAGCTTGTTCTGCTTCGTTTGCCATGGTTTCATAATATTTTCTTTTGTCTTCCCTGGCACTCTTCTTCACTCTTTTGTTCAGCGTATTGTAGCTTGCATTTAACTCCTGTTTTTGTTGCTCGTCGGTGCACTGGATAATCTTTTGTTTCACTGTCCTTCTCTCTTCTATTAGTTTCCAAGTGTCCGTAGTGAGCCACTGTTTGTCCTGCCTCTTCTTTCTGCCTAGAACTTCCATGCAGGTTTGACTCCACACCGTTTTCAAGTTGTTCCAGTGCTTTTCGATGCCGACCTCTTCGCTAGTGTTGATTTGTGTCTCGGCTTTGTCCCTTATGCTTGCAATGAAGATGTCCTTTGTAGCCTGGTCCTTCAGTTTTTGAGTGTTGAACTTGGCTTGTGGTCTATCTGTAGCTCCTGATTCCCTGAAAGCTTTTAATTTATTTGGATTGTCCCTTGTACGAGATAGTGGTCTGAGCCAACGTCTGCTCCTCTTCTTACTTTTATGTCCAGTAGGCTGCGCCTTCACTTCCTTGAGATTGAGATGAAGTCAATTTTGTTTTTGGTTTGCCCATCTGGTGACACCCAGGTAGCCTTGTGGATATCTTTGTGTTTGTATACACTGCCACCAATCATTAGTTCGTTGAAGGCGCAGAAGTCGGCGAAGAGTTCTCCATTTTCATTCATTTATCCGAGAGCTTCTCTAATCATGATGAGTTCCCGTCCTGTGTTGTCTGGTCCCAATTTGGCGTTCACATTGTCTTATATTGGTTTTTTATTCAAATATCTAGTCACTTCCACTCATGTATATGAATGAAGGAAAAAACTTGTGTGAGTGAGTGACTTGATATGATTATGAGTGGCAATAGTTTGTACTCAAAACGGAGTCATCAGTTAATATTACTTTATAAAAATGCGATTTATCAAAATAAAATCTTATCCAAAATAGAGTTATACTCTATCATCACAGTTTTATACTTATATCAATAATTCCCTCCAGCTAATTACCCTTTTTGTGATCAACCAATAGGAAACCTAACGGAACTTTCTAATGAACATCGTTTGTTAACAGTAATACCGTGTGACGTAATAATAATAATACAGTAATAGCCGTTGTGATGGAGTGCCATTCAATCATAGATAATTTCATTCGATAAACATCGGACAGTAGTGATACAGTATAATTTACTGATGAAGTTTTGAGTACTACGTATTGCTGTTCATAATTATATCAGATAAAATCTGTTATTTCATATCCTTTAATTTTATTATTAAGAATATTTTTCATATCTTTAGTATTGTCGTTGAGTCATTTTTACAGCACGCGTCAAGTACACATTCGATGAACAAAGAATCTGTGATCAAATTCTCCCTCCATCTACCTGCATTATTTTTCTTAGAACTGTAGCTGTCTCCCATCCTATTGTGTGATTTTGTGTTAATGCATGCATCGCAATGGCTGAATTTTTCCCCAAACTATTCATCTTTGTTAGGTCGATCATCTTTCGTAAAATCTCAGCGAGATTGAAATGAGTAATTCCAACGTTTCGTTCGGCAATCTGGTCCGAACTTTTTTAGGGAAATTAATCGAAATTAACATAACAGAGGTTTATATATAAAAGGAACGTTTCTTGCTTTTAAAAACTTTGTTCAATCACGATTCATAAAACAAGTATCAACCAGTATAATAAACAAAATTGTGTATGAGCTGTAATCAAAAGTTTACCTCGAACTTACAAATATTGGTCTACCTTTGTTAAACACTTTAAACAGTGTGTATGTGTGTGGGTAAGCAGTTGTAAAACTTTTATTAACGTCTTCATAAGAAGATATAGACAGTCATGAATTTTGACCAAGTATTGTTAATTAGTAATACATATCCATTTTTACTTATTAATCAGGATTTCCTATGGGTCAGCTAACATCACACTTTCTTGTCTGTTCAAACTGTTAGTATCTAGAATTTTATGATTAGACGTATTTTCAAAATTATGGTATTTAGAATTAGAGTTTAGTTTAAGCACCCTGTCGAAATTATTGCTTTGTCTTCTTTCTGAAGACTGAGCTGATTTATTCGACCTACTGGAGTTGTCAGGTGACTCGACAGCTACGGATTTAGGATATGCATTCTGTTGCAGACAACGGAGAGTGAAAACACGATGATTGTGCCAATTACATAGTTTCTTTGTTAATTTAATTCGATTGCAAAATAATTCAAATGAACTGCCGTCAAGATTTGACAGAATAGTTCTAAAATATTTGGGCACCGAGTGAGAAGTGGACATTTGTAAAAAATTATATTTGTAAAATCTCAGAGAGATTGAAATGGGTAATTCCAACGTTCCAAGAAGTTCGGACCAGATTTCGGACGAAACGTTGGAATTACTCATTTCATTTTCGCTGAGATTTTACAAATATAATTTTTTACAAATGTCTACCACTCGGCGCTCAAATATTTTAGAACTATTCTGTCAAATCTTGACGACAGTTCATTTCAATCATCCTTCATTTAACTAATTCGAAGATAATTTTGAGGAAAATACTCAGCAATCGCAATATCTTTTGACGAACAAGATCTTTCTTATCACATCAAATAACACTAAATTATGCAAGTGAATATTTGATATTCATATTAAAGAACAAACGTATACTGTTCATATTCACCTGACAAGATCACAACACAGTGTACACATGCAACCTGGCAAACAAGGCACATCCATCGGTGGTTTCAAATCAATGAATTCAGAATTTCCCATTTTAAGTTGTGAACTCAAAGATGATGAAGGCAGGCGAGCGACAAGGTAAAACCGAAGACGACAATTTGGGATGCCAAATTGCAGAGGAGAAAGTAGAAATTGCTACAATGCAAAAAGAAAGGAATAAACTCATCAAAGGAGAAAATCGAAACAGAATACAAAAATACAGAATATGATTGATTTGTCAGTGAATTATAAGAATACTGAATGAATTTTGAAAGTGACTTACTTAGTTTAAGGTGAAGTCAAACTATAACCAACCATCAGTACTTGACTGACAACAGCTAACGTTGCAGCTGGCATAAACAAATCATATTATAACTTCCGTTTTAGACATATTTTCAGAGAGATCTACAAAACTAATTGGAGTAACTCTAGTTTTCTGTCATTATCACTGGTATTGTTTTCTTTGTGTTGTGGTCCCATCTTGGGTACAGTGATATTAAGCTTTTATAAAAATTAAAGAATGTGATGTAGTGAAGATGTCGTATTGAATGTTTGAAGTGGAATGAAGACCCGTTTAATATCTTAGTTACTTAGCTCAATGCACAAAACTCCATACTGCCGATGTGAAGCCCATTTGTTCGAATCGCTTCATGATCCGTGCTTAAATCATCACCCTATTTGGTAAATTTACAGTTTTCTTTTGGACAGAGATAAAATGAGTGTGTAGTGAGAGAGGGTGAAGTAATTTACTCTTGTTAAGTTATACTATTACACCTTATAAAGGCCATGGTTCCACTGAGTAACAGTGAGTACTTGTGTCAGATAATTAAATGCATGAAGAACTTGATTATTGTATGAAAAGTAGAATAGAATAATTTGATGAGTTAGTTAAAGCGAAGGTTAAAGTGAAGTAGTCATCCCTGTTGACATTGCTACTCACCTTGAGCAACTCATCATGTTGGATGGACGATAAAAGCCTCAAAAAAATTTTCTAAAATATTACGGCATTCGTGTATCCGTCTGTTCTTTCATTCCACTTTTTAATTTTGTCCAAAATCACTATCTTCTCAAACAACCAGTTATCCTTTAAAGTTTCCCTTGCATCAGGTCTTTCAGTTTTTATAAAAAACTTAATATCATTGTTTCATAGATCAGATCACAGCATGAAGGAAACAATGGTATTGATAATGACAGAAAACTAGAATAACTCAGAAGAAATAAACTAAGGAAAAGAAATAAGATATACAGCGCGAAAAGATGCGTAAAAGTTACAGTCAAGTTAAATCATATATAATACGGTTGAATCTATACATTTATGATAACTTATAAGATAATTTTTTCTTGAGGTCACCAGTTCATTGCTGGATTTGTCGTAAAATGGAAACACGACATTAGCGGTACAGATTCTACTGCTCATACTTTCGTGCATAGCGATACCACAATTTTAAACACAACAGTTGATTGAAATTTCAAGTCCTAGATAGATCAAGTATCTTAAGTGGAATAAAATTCACCATATTACTCACTTTGTATTATTCTTACTTTGTTCCTTTGCGTTCCGAGAAAAACGCAGGGCTTCAAGCCAGAGCTTTGAAGATTCATTAGCACTGGTGTTTTACAAGGTGGGGTTGCTAACCTCACGCCCGACCTTTCCCTTTTGCTGGACTTATATTCGATTGCGGGAGAGTTAAAGGTATGCGCCGGCCACGAGTCAAACCCGAACCATTCGCATGGTTGGCGAGCATTCTACTGCTGAACTACCGACACACAATTAGTAGTTCCATTTACTAAAGGCAACATTACAACGCTTTCATTGAATTAGGACGGAAATAGTCGACAACACCTAATACTAATTCACATCAAAAAAGAGCACTGACCGATGAACCTGAAACCCTGCACACATGTGCATAAGTTGAAGTTTCCAGGCTTATAGATAGCACAGGAAAACGGATAGAACAGAATTAGAATGATACTACAATGAACACACATGACTGAGTGATAACGGAGGATTTAATGAAGAAATTCAGAAATTCAAGTGGTAAGAAGTGGATAAATTATAACACTACATAATTGGTTTCGAGCCATCCTGCCAGCAGTCTTCAACAATTGATTTTAAACATCTCCAGGATGTCGGCCTGGCAACCTACTCGAATCTACATGAGTCACACACCAGCAGACTATGACTTCTCGGTCTGATTACCTTTTAGCAAATTAATCGTAATTCGGACAGGCAAATGAATGACCACATATATGCGAACAGTGTACTGACATTTGATTATAATTGTCAGATAACTTTTTAAATGTAACTTTAAACAGAAGCGCTGTACACTACTTACCTGATATTCATAACCAGAGGTATTCAATACTTCAATTAGTCGTCTCCATGGCTCAGAATGTTCAAAACCTTTTACATTTTCTAGTATGATTCCTTGTGGCTTTAGACTTCAAAAGTCAATTGTTAAAATTCAAACTTACATAGTTATTAGATCAAGAATATGAAAGAAAGAGGCACTTCTGTTATCCGCTTCACACATTTGTTTCCCTAGCCTTGTAAAAGGTTGACACGGTGGACAAAGACTCCATATATCTGCATTTAGGCTATGTACAAACTCAACAGTAAAGCCTAAAATTTAATGTGCCATTTTTACATAACTACTCACCTCAATAACTCGATTCAATACTAGTGTATTGGGAAAGTTATACGCATATACTGAAGTTGCCACATCATTGATTTCAACAGCACCAACTACTTCGTGTTTTACAGTAGACTCTTATAAAATGAGGTTAGCTGGTGTTTTGAATACTTTGGAAAGCAAGATGCATGCCACCTATTCCTGAATAAAACTCCAAAACACGCATTTTGTGAATGAGATACGCAAATTTGCATTAAACTCCTGAAAAACAAAAATATTTACAATATTAATAATAATTTGAAAGCTATCAAACGAATACTGGGCATTACTTCACGAATTGTATCAACTCGTTGCAAAAGCAACTACTACAGTTAAACAGACTTGATGATACCGTTAAGGATTTCTCATTTCTATGTCACAACTACCATGTTAAAGTTGACGATATTATCTTACTGCCTAGACTTTACGACGTACAATGGGATTTCAGATCACGACTTATCGGTTAGAAGCTGAATTTACGCATTTTAGGTGATTATACAAGCTACACTAAGTTCATATATTTGATAGCACCTAGCGAGAATAATACACATTAGCTGTTAATTTCGACTGCACATGAATGTAGATGCCAGTGCTTTTCAAAATTCATAGAAACAAAATATTGACAGTCATTTAGGTAATCTTGAGTCTACTTTATGAAAATGGCTTCTGCTATGAGATGTAGCTCATGATTTTAGAAGTTCAAAAAGTTTTATTTTATCGAAGTCAATTTCCTCATCTCTAATAAATTTCCTGGGGATAAAATGAAGACTGTGTGACTTTCGATTTCGATTCTGAACTTTTCATAGGATGTTGTACTGTGTAAATTGTATCACGTTTGCACGATTCATTTCGGAACGACAGGTAACAACTTTATTGTTGGACAGTAGCCTTTCTCATATCGAATAGTTAGCACAGAACCAAAATCAAATGCACTTGACTGTTCGGGGATATCAACGATGGTCTTGGGATTTTCTTAGACTGAAACACCTAAACTGAACAGGCATAAATTAGTACTACTGCGATAGTTGGAGAAAACTTCAGATATTAAAAGTGAATTTATCATCAGTAGTGATTCACTATCAAGAAGTAGACAGCTTTTTCTCAGCTTTCACTTCAAAAATACACTTTTTGAATTTCACATTTTCTACTTTCATATTGCTATCGTCATAAATATTGTGTAAAGCCCGTTGATACTATTTAATCGCCCATGTTGTAATTCAAGCGGGAATGGGACACAAAAGACGCTACATACATGATTAATGAGTCACGAATAGAATATGATGCAACTAGACTGTACAATGACGTATGCTTATGTTTGCAGAAGTGTTGCTAGAAAACCAAATAAGTTTAACAGGACAAAGGTGAATGACACCTAGTTCCGTTGAAGGGAATGGTTTTTGAGTTAGTCCCAAGCAATACTCGTGGCTATGTGATTGTGCCCCATCATATGCATGTCAAATTATTCTATGTATATGTGAGCTCCACTACTTAACACAGTTTAAAAATTTTATTCTCACTTTACAGTATACACCCACTGTGAAGTTAACTGATTCACATAGATATAATCAAATATGGGAGGTATATTAGCGACCTCTAGAAACATCAGATATATTGTATAATTAGTTATACTGCATGTCAGGGTATCTAAAGGTATAACTATACTCGATTATAAGCAGTTTGTGTTTTCTAATTTCCAGTCAGCGAATTACTGTGACTAAATCGAAGGATAAACTGCACACTTTTGCTACATTATGTGCATTTATCAGTTTAACTGAGACCTGAGCAATCGCTGTATCACCAACACCCCTTATATATATATATATATATATATATATATATATATATATGGCGAACTTGAAGTATGATAGTAAAAGTCAAGGTTTGTCGAAAGTCGGCCTTCAAGGACCAGTCAGATTTAGGGAGCTCTATGAGAAGTCATTTCAAGTCAACTCATGAGAGGGTAGATACAGTATTCTACTTACTCCACAAGTACTTTTTGTGCAAATCTATACTGCTAAGTAGGGCTATGATTTTTAGGACTAAGTTTAGAGTCAACGATAAATGTTAGGATTAGGATGTCAATTAAGATTGGTGGTTGGAAGTACGGTCAGAGTTGAAGAACAATGCCAGAAATACCAATGGATGTCAAAGTACGATGATCTACGGTCACCTCAATGAGTACTTTTGTAGTGCATGGTATTATCTCTCCATAGGTTGTCTTGTAGCGACTAGGGACATTCTTACAACACATAAGCGACAGCTTTCTGGTGTAATATCATGTTTCCAATGATTTTAAGTGCATTTTTCAACGATTATGCGTCTCTTTTTATCTAAGTCCTGATTGGTTGTTTAGGGTCATTTAGACTTTGGCTATGATAGTTTAGCTTGGCCATATATATATATATATATATATATATATATATATATATATATATCATTTTTTAACACACAAACCTCTTACACCTCCAGTAAAAGTTCATTTGCTTTCTCTGAATTCTAGCACCACTTAATCCCACCATCTATTCTAGTCAGTCCTCATCAATTCGAGTATTTTTGGTATAATTATGTCACTTTTCATTCTAAGTGTAAATATCATTATGAGGATATATCCTCGTCATGAGAAGCCACTCGACTTTTCACCTGTGCTGTCAGCAAATAAATTGCTGTTATGATAAACAGCATAGTTAATCTGCCTCGTCTTATTATTCCATGACTTCTTTATATCTGATATGTTTTCTAAAATACACGTAAACTAATAAACATATATAATTAAAACCTTATGGGGACTAATTCTGGACCATGCTCCTCACCCGAATATCTTTTTTGGTGAATAACTTATGAGTGAATTTTTAATATTTTAAATGAAAATGACTACGTCCACGACCAAGGAACAACAACGGTAACGCACTATTTGAAAAAGTACTAAATTTTCAGCCCACTTTCCAATGTCAAATCCCAAATTTTTCCTGGACAGCTGGTGAAAACCCTGAGACTTCTGGGCAACTTGAATAACAGCAATGCAAGGAAACCAACACGTAAGTAACGTGTAATATTCGCTTCACGTAGACCATAGACGAAGGAGAACACCGGGTTAATCGTCCGAAATACGAAGTATGTTTGGAGACCAAAGTAGTAATACTAGGATGATCGGTTACCCAGATAGGGATCGTTCATGAACAACCAAACGTAACACGACGGCTTTCCGAAAGACGTGGATGCTTGATCACGAGCCTTCAGCATTCAGTGTTCAATGATGAATGCTGGAGGCTAATATTTTCGGGGAATTATCTACCTCTACACTGTGTTTGCAACAGATATTCGACAAACACGGTAGAAAGGATGTGCCTGGAAGAGACACAAGGCTAGCTAGGATAAATTGATGGAGTGGATTGGTCGAATAGATAGCGCTACAGCTGGCCCCCAGAACCCTATGTGGATGTGCGCAGACTATTCGTTGTGACATAACATTCCACTTCTTTTCTGAAGTTATCAATTACAAACTCTAAGAGAAAAGATAACTGTGAATAACTGTGAACTTCAGGCTAAAAATAAGCTAAATAGTAGCACCCAGTGACAAAAACTGACCTACACACTGCAAAATGAGAAAAACATCCAGAAAAACCTTTAAAATTCAATGGAAAACGAATTCACGAAACATAACTAGCCGACGCAGGAACTCATCATGACCTAGAAACTGACTGTAGCCTCTTTCGAGATGAAGGCAGCCTGTTGACGGCCGTAATTTTGAGTGACCGCGAATGAGATAAACAAGAGATTCGCTCGCTCGTGATTGGACAGTTTGTCATTCTAGTTGAGGTAATTTCAAACGTCATTTTGCTGCTTGGTTAAGTTCTGAATTTCCGGGATCGTTTTATCAAATTTGAGAGATAACTGACAACACAAACTATTACAGCTAAGGAGAGGAATGATATACCAGTGGATTTGTTTGCTGAATTCAACGAATTCATGCCAAATTAAGATCTAAGGATTTCTTAGGGGTGTGAAGAATGCAAACAATGTTCTGAAGAGGTAATAACTTCACGCAACTTCAATTATCGCTTGACCATTTTTTTCAGAGATCCTTAAATAAGCATGATATACACAGTGGTCTGGCTAATCATGATAAAAACGGCATGGTTGTTGCAGCATACACATATACTCATGTATATGTAGGTAAACCTAGATAAACTGTGTTCTTTTCACGAAGATCGGAAAGCAGGTATCAGATGTCTCAGTAAGCAGTGTAATACATGTACGTTACATGTTTTTATTTGACATAGGCTGGATCTCCACTCACTTTCAGAATCAATCTTGAATTCAGTTGGAATAAGCTGGTTGAGCACATCAGTATTGAGAGAATACAGTGAAAGTAAGTAAACACATGCTTCTTAAGATTAGATGATACATTTGTTTGATATGATTGTATTATTATTTGTCTATCTTAGTTAATGATGAATTCGTTGCAATAATATTGCCTATTATTGTTTTTATAGTCACTATGAACATGAATGTTATTATTATTGCTGTCAAGACCTATTATTTGTCATAAAGTGGTTGTCATTTTTGCTAAAATATTTGTACAAGCTTTGAAAACTACTGCATAACTTGTTGTTAGATAATTTTATCATTTCATGATGCTTCAATGGACTACTGGATATCGACCAACGATGGGTTGCAAAGTCCCTTAGGTTTAGTGAAAAATTTTCGGCTACTTATATATACATATATATATATTATTTGTAAAGTGATTACTTCTAAATGCTTATCAGGAAAATTTTTTTATTCAGATCATGCATGTAATACCTAAGTTAATTATGCTTTTCTTAAACTTTTTCAGACTTATGGAAAAAGATATATGTTTT